CATTCTTCGGTGGCTGGTGAGCCCCAGTAAGATGAACTCTTTGACAGAGGTGAAGTTCTCACTTACCATCTTAGCATCTTGCCTGAGGTGAAAGGAAATTAGTGAAAGATCATGAAATTTCCTGGAAATGAGACCACCCATAAATAAATGAATGAAAGAAAGAAAGAAAGAAAGAAAGAAAGAAAGAAAGAAAGAAAGAAAGAAAGAAAGTTCCAGAGTATATCCAAAAGAAACTCATCATCACTACAAACTGCAACATCTCAGATGTCAGTTGAGGCACTAGGTCTTGGATTTTCCAATATGTTGTTACCTGTAAATATTGAAAATGGTGGCATTAAATATTTTCTATTTTTTAGTTTTTTAAATCTGTCAGAAGACCACTAGGCATATGATCCAAGAACTTTGAGCCTCAGTTTCTACACCTTTATAGCTTTGTGGAAAGGTATTTCATCCTTTATCCAGGGATAATCTCAAATGATAATTTTCTTCAATGGTCAATAATTCAGTGAATGTTGAATGAATATCATCACCTTGCAGTGATCAGTGCAATTCAGATGTGTAAATCCAAGTCCAGTTTGTCCTTTTTTAATGGTTTGGATTGAAATGACAAGATTGTTAAATTAACTTTAGACTGATGGTTGTAGATTAAAGGCATTTGAGTTCCTTTTTGCCCAAGCCCCAAAGTTTGGATTTTATACAAATGTCAAGGACTTTTTGGCATGGGGAATGACCCAAAGAATCACCATACAGTCTTGAAAGAGAAACTGATCTTTGCCAATGGATTATTGATTTGTGTTTTTTCTTAGCCTTTGAACTTTTTTTCCAGAAAAAGGCAAGGAACAAGACTTTCCAACAATTTGATCAAATTTGGGGAAGTTGATCTATTTATGATTTCTTTATCCTATCTTTCTGACATTAATGTTGATATTATGCTATATGGTTAATATGGTTTTATGAATGTGTTTTCCTGTTAATGTGTTTAATATAATAAACTATTCCAAGAACTGAACTGACCAATAAACAGAGTGGTACTTTATTTGATAGGCTTCCATAAGGTGACTTAGATTCCCATCATCAAAGGACTTTGACCTGAGGAGGTGATGCTGGTTCCCCCTGTTGAAGCAAATAGATAGTATATTTCTGGAAGCATATCACACACACACACACACACAGTCTCCCTACCTTTCATTTACAAAGACCCCAAGTGTGAAAAATGGTGGGCAAGTGGAGGATGAAGTTGTGATTGAGATCTCAATCCAGTTGCTGAGAGATGTGAGAATAATGTTTTTAACAGACTCCCTTTCAGCGAACTCACTATAAATGAGTCTGAGAAATTCCTTTTAACAATTGTCAACAGTCTGTGTCTATAGCTTTAAAGATCCCTTCCTGAAATCCATGTTCTTGCTTTTTCTGTCTTGGGGAGCGGGGAGGGGGTGGCTTGGGGATCTAGGTGTGTGGTAGACCGTGTACAGGGGTGATGTTGATTGTTAGGGGTGGCTTTTAATACCTCAGTTATGGATTGTGTTACATTTTATATGTTTTTTTTAATATATTGTATGCTGTTTTTATATTGTTTTTCATGGCTGTAAGCCACCCAGATTCATGTGTTTGAGATGGGTGGCTATATAAATCAAATAAATAAATGAATCAATAAGCAGGCAAGTGGGTCTCTTCAAGCTTTGGCAAATGATGAATGGAGAAGGCTGAGTGACCTTGGCAGAGGTTACCGAAGGGGACAAAGAGGTGGGCATTAACTTGGAACTCTTCTCAACGTTCTCCATGGCACTCACCCACACAGACGATGCCCCAATGTGGTGCAGTGCTTAAAAGGGCAGTGAAGCAGAATCAAAGCGGGGGGGAACCATGATTGCTTTGTCTCCCTCTCCAAAGTGTCATGCTTTTTGTAAAATAGCTCCTGGAAGCTGCTTCAATTTAATCTTCATCAAACAATCTTTGGAAGATTGGCCCAGCCTCATCGGGGCACTTTTATTTATTTACCTTGATTTTGCTAAGCTAATTCATGAAATGGAAGTCTAACTACACACAGTACAACAGTTGTAATGACATAAGGTAACTTAAAATTAATTAGCACAATAAATCATTTTTTAAAAAAGGGGGAAAGGAAGGGGAAGGGGGCTGGTGGAAAATTATTGTGAAAACAGAACTCCAAAAATTTTGACCAGAGTGCTTGAAATCTTCCTTGACCCTTTGTAAAAACCAAAAAACCTAATTTGAACGCTGAGAAGCAATGCATATTAAAAACCCATTGCTGCAAATCAGATATAGATTTTACTTCCAGAATTGTATGAACTCCGTGCCTGAAAAATCCATAGCACTTGATATCTTTAATTATTTATCCTGCCTTTTTTGTATAGGAGCTGAAGGTATCATACATAGTGCTCCATTCTCCTATTTTTCCTCACAACAACCCTGTGAGGTAGGTTGGGCTGAGAGACAGAGTGACTAGCCCAGTGAAGACCATGTTTTCTCTCATGTGTATAAGCTGGACAAGCCAAAATAGTGTACAGACTGTCTTCTACTTACAAACTTTCAAGTTACAAACTTTCACCAATGTGAACAAGCCTGTCTGCAACTCCAACCTAGAAGCCAGGAGAAGGCAGGAAAGGGTTAGTTTACGGTGCACTGGATAGATACAGTTGGCAGCACCATCACACGTTGGGAGGCATGTTTTTTATATTTAGTTGGACTTACAAACAAAATGGACTTACAAATAGCCTCTTGGAATGTAACCCGTTCGTAAGTAGAGGACTGTCTGTATAGGTATGATTTGTCTCATATCATGATAGATGATAGATATGATAGATAGATGACAGATGATATGATGATAGATAGATAGATGATGATGATAATAATGATAGATAGATAGATAGATAGATAGATAGATAGATAGATAGAT